GATGTAGGGATATATTTAATAACACTGAACGACTAAAAATGTACTGGCCACTTTAAAAAGTTTTTAGTATCAAAATGTTCGTCATTTATTTCAGATTGATTCCAAATTTAAATATAAGAAAAAATAAAATGTGTTGGAGGTAAAAATTGAGTTGAACTGTAGGGAACGAATATTGTACTCAGAATAATTGTTGCTTTTTTTGTTGTTGTTGATAACTGCTATTTTAACATATTTTTGATTCCATTTTTTTAATTGTGATTATTTGACATTAAATTGCAATAGAACGTCAGCATTTAACTAGAAAAGATATGTTAAGAGCAGTTGGAATGCTGCAAGCTGGTGATTTTTAATGTGACGTCGCTGCGGCATAGGTACCCGAAAAATTTTGATTTCGAAGCTGTGGTCACGCTATCGTGTGACGAGGGAGATAGCGGAAAGACATCCAGGACCAAGTTGCATTAATACACACAAGCAAGACCGTTTTTTTTTTGAAAATTTCTACAAGACGGCAACCAAATATTACCGCGATGCAATTGGTTTAAACTGTAATAAGGAGGGAGACTGCACGAAACCAACCTTATGAAGACTGCAATGAGTTAGAGAACATGAAAACTGGGAACATCACCAATGGTCGTTGGTACTTTTCACCGATAAATTCAGATTTAGTTTTCATTTTGATTTGAGGCTTGCCGGGACATGCCTACAGAATATGCAGTATAACTCAAACGCTGCCTCTCATTTGGGTATATATTGTTAAAGGAAGAGTTCCACAAGCAAGTAGACAGTGTGGCGATGGGCTCACCTGTATCTCCCGTAGTCGCCAATATATTCATGAAGGATTTTGAGAAGAAAGCACTTTTTACTGCTCCTGTAAATCCAAGATAATACAAGCGGTACGTAGACGACACTTTCAAAATTTTACCATCTGACAAGGTAACTGCATTTTAAACCAACATAATTTTTTTTATAGAATAAGGGTAACAAACTAGAACACAGTCCATCTGATGGTAAGTAGTTGCTGTGGCCCGTAGACATCTACATCTATCTTTGATTGCAAATTAAAATGTAGATGCGTTGTCAGTCGTGAGGATTAAGATAAAATGCCTCTTTTCCAGTAAAATGGGTCTCCGGTTCTCTACACTCACCATACGAAACACAACAGCATTAAGCTGCTATTTTATGCTGGTATTCTGTGAGAGCGTGGTTCTTCCCCGGTCGAGTCGACCCAGTTGTGCTACAACTATACTATTAATATAGCTGCAGCATGGCTCTACCACGTGTAAAAAATTCTAAAATTCAATTCCATAAACTCTAAAATACATTTCACACTGAAGTTAGAGGCAAACAATTTTTTAGTTTTCCTAGATGTTTTAGTCATCCAAAATCCTGATAATACTGTTGTTCACACTATGTATAGGAGAAAGACCCCATACCAACCGATATTTAAATTGTTAATCTCACCATCATCCATCACAGTTAGCTACCGAGGGAAAATTTTTGTTCAGAGAGGACGAGGGATCTGTGACAGAAAACATCTGGCTACCGAGCTTCAACACGTCGAGCAAGTATTGCAAGACAACAAGCTTCGGGTCCCGCGCCTACGTGACCGAGTGAATCCGGCCACAGTCGAGCGTGTGCCTGCTGTACTGCCCTTTGTCAGAGGTGTCACAGACAAGGTTGGCTACATCTTGAAGTGAGCTTCCATTAAAACGTAATTCAAGCCGCCGAAGAAGATTAGTCAATTTTTATCATCCGTCATGTATCATATCCCTCTACAAGATGCAGAAGTGTACAAGATGGATTGTGAATATGGTCTCTCTTACATAGGACAAACAAAAAGATCTTTAAAAACCCGCGTGAAAGAACATATAGCTGACTTGAAGCACCGATGTTCCGGGTCAGCAGTCTGTGAACATGTTCAAGATCGTACCCGCTATTACATTAGATTTGATAGAACACAAATCCTAGTAAAAGAACACCGATTCCTACCAAGGATGATTCGCGAGACTATTGAATAATTCTAATGCAGGCAAGGAGGATTGGTGTTGCTGAGAGGATGCCTGTGTTACACTGAGATAAGTAATGTTGCTGTTGGTTTGCATACTTTGGTGTTATCATGTAATTACGTACCTCATGTTACATGTTACACTGGTGTGTGATTGTGGCGGGAACGTGTTACGGTATAGTTGAACTGTAATTATTCTATACTGAATGTAAAGAGCGTTACGTTGTCTTATTACTGATAATGATTGTACACGCCCCCAGCTGCCCCAACAAAGGTCGAACATATAGGGGCCCATACAGCTGTAGACTCGACGGACAACTAAGGGTGGGGCTCAAAATGCTTATGGACAATTGACCTACACAATAGAGATAAGGCTAGGTAAATAAATAGTACGTACCTGGTTCCGAAGCTAAGACCGCCCCAAGGCTCGGTCAGGCCGTAGGTAGGTGTAGGTGCCTGTAAGTGGTGTTTAGTGGTGTGTAAACTGTGAAGCCTATGTGTGGCCGACAGAGGGCGTAGCTGAGCGCCCCCGCCCGTGGGGGTCGAGGGCCCGGCAAAGCCCCGAAAGGAGACGCCGTTCGCACCCAGACACAAAACTGCATGGTGATTGCCCTGGCAATGCGGACAGGGCCGCTGGTGCGGGCAGTCCAGCTGGAGGTGCCTTTCCAAACAAGAGTAGCACCAGCGGCGCTCCTTGGCGATAGTTCGCCTAGCCGGAACCGGCTTACCTAATAACTTCGGGCACGACGTCGCCCGATAATCTGAAGCTCGGCAATAGGAACAGGGGGGTGCCTCCCTGGCCACTAGGCCACTGTAAGATGGTAGGGAGTGGCGCCCTCTCGCGGAAGCTCCGATCGGCTTTAGGGGGGTTGACTACGCTGCCCGGCGGATCCCGCCTCTCACTGGTCACGGCTCGTAAGTCGTCAACGGTGCCCGCTGCGTTCTCAATCTGCCGGCACTGCTCCTCCAAGAACCGCAGCAGATCACTAAAGGGCGGAATATAGTAGGCGCCGTCCCCGCCGTACCTCTCCTCAAAATGTATCCTAAGGTCGAGAGGCAGGCGGGACAGCACGATGTGGAGCAACAAGAAGGACCATTTATCTACCGGCAAATCCAGCCGCCTCAACGCATTACAGACCACCAAGACTGGATTCACTAGGTCCGGGCGTAGTCTGGCCCGGTCCCTAAGCAGTGGGAGGCTTAGAAGCTGCCTGACGTATTCGTCCGCAATTCGCCGGACGTTGGCATATCTTCCGAGCAGTCTGGTAGGCGTCGTCCGACAATCTCAAATGGCCGACGACGTCCAGGGCCTCCCCCTTCAGTGAGGCTAGGAGGTACGCCATCTTCTGTCTTGGTGTCAAGTCCCTCCGGGCGTCCACCAGGCTATCAAAAAGCCCAACAAAAGTCATCAAGTCGGAGAGGACCCCGAAGAATCTTGGCAGGTCCAGAGTTGGGAGTCGCCCCAACAGCTCCGGCTGAGTAGGCTGCTTCCGAGGGGACTCGGGCAGGCCACTCATCAGAGCTTCACGCGCTTCATTAGCATACTTGGCCATCGCCTCGATTTAATCGTCCGTGAGCGAAAAAAATTTCTCGTAGTCCGCGAGACAGGAGTCTAGGACTCCCTGTTCCGCATCCGAGGCCTAAAGCTCTGTGCAAGCCTCCTTCACTACAGCTCTTCGGGCATCGACCTGCTCGAACCGCTTCCCTAAACTATGAACCCGATCAGATCGACCTATCCAAAGATGGGCGTTCGCGGCCCAGCGCAGCTCCACCCGCAGGCGAAGCGCCGGTTGCTTGTGCGATGGCATCTCTACTAAATACAAATTAATACGCGGCACAAATACAAATCAAATTAACAAATAACAAATACAATTACTATCAAATCAAGTTAAATACAATTACATAAATACAAATTACTATTTATTAAATTAAATACAATTATTTTTATTATTATTTATTAAATTACACTACAAATAAAGGTACACACTACAGTCGATCAGCAAAGATACCTCGTGGTAGCGACCGACCCTTCGACAATTAATCTACTATAATTATACGACAACGATAATTATCCGATTACGTGATAACAATTATTTACCTATCCGCTAACAAACAAAGGAAGCAAGCAACAAAGGAAAATATTTTTATTATTACGTATTACGGCCGGGCGTGATTGTAATCAATCAACCACGCTCTGCTACCAAATTTGTACACGCCCCTTGCTGCCCCAACATAGGTCGACCACACAGGAGCCCATACAGCTGTAGACTCGAAAGACAACTAAGGATGGGGCTCAAAATGCCTATGGACAATTGACTTACACAATAGAGATAAGGCTAGGTAAATAAATAGTACGTACCTGGTTCTGAAGCTAAGACCGCCCCAAGGTTCGGTCAGGCCGTAGGTAGGTGTAGGTGACTGTAAGTGGTGTTTAGTTGTGTGTAAACTGTGAAGCCTGACTTAACTTTTCAATCCATCAACTTTATTGTACATTTAATTAACTTCAAACTCAACTAAATCCCCGTTAATCGTAATCAAAAACGTAACACACGGCACGACTAATTAACTGTTGATCAAAGTTTACTTCCGTTTCACGTAGCAACAAGATTATAACCACGAACAAGAACGCGATCTCTTCTCGAGTCACAAAGATCAGCGTTACAAACGACAATCTAAATTCCTTCATACGATATTAAATATTTAACACTACGGTACACGCGCCTCAAAAAGGTTCATGAGTGCTCGCGTGGGCTACCCTTGTAGCCCATTTAAAATTGAAATATAATTAAAAATAACGGTTTTATTTTAAAATAAAACACATTTTTTGTTATTAATGACGTTGATTAAGTAAACTGAAATAAAAAAAATATCTTTTCTTTCTTAAACTAAAAAATATTAACTAAAATTCAGACTTCTTAAAAAATCACATAATTTTTACTTCTTTAAGATCAATCCACTTTTGGTTTAATTTTTAACTTAGTTTTTTTTTTAAAAGTCAGTTTTCGTTACACGAAGGACAAATTAAAATTTGGTGATCAGTACATATACGCCTGTAGCATTTTGAGCAAGTTTTCCTGGTGCTGCGATCGCGAATTCTGCTACAAAACGCACAGCGTGCAACCCCACCACGAATTACTATATTTCCTTGTTGAGGAGCTTCTGAAATGTTCAACAATAGTTTGGCTCTTGTTTTAATGCTTCCTGGAACATTATCCTGATAAATTCGTTCTAAAATTAATGGTTTCACAAGCTCAAACCCCAAAGTCTGAAGAAAAATGCGTCTGATGATGTTTTCGTTTGAATTATTCAACTGATGAATAACTAGGCCATTTATAGCGGCAATATTTAAAAAATTGAAAAATAATGTAAGAGGCCAACGCCTACTATTTCTAGATACGTCATATTGACGACACATCCTGTCCACAATATCCACCCCACACTTTGTGTGGTTATAAAAAGTTATGATTTCAGGCTTTTTTGCGTCGCCGGTAGTAGCATCTATTGCTTCGTCATGGTGCATTGTTGACAATAATAAAACTGTTTTGTTCCTTTTTGGCACATAACTGACTAATGTGCATTCTTTCTGAAACCCAAACAAAGAACTATTTATTTGTCGGCCCTGGCTAGTCTTAAAACTTGTGGGTATTTCTGGCTTGTTACTCTTGAGAGTGCCGACAACAGTAATTCTTTCTTCCAAAAGCTGCAATGCCACTGGATAACTGGTAAACCAGTTATCCATCGTAACATTACATCCCATATTTATAAGCGGCTCTAGTAATCTTTTGGTGACGTCTGCAACTTTGTTGGATACACGAAATGGGCCTTCTGGTTGTTCACCACAATAAACTTCAAAGTTGTAAATATACGGGCATTTTGTGTCCACTACCATAAATATTTTTATTCCAAATTTTGCCGGTTTGTTGGGTAGGTACATAATAAAACCACATCGACCTCTAAATGCTACGAGTTGCTCATCCAACGTCATGTGTTCACTTGGAGTATAATATTCTAAGCAACGGTTTTTCATACCCTCAATAAAGCACCGTATGGCAGCAAGCTTATCAATTTCTTGTCTTTGAGGGCGATCGCGAATATCATCAAATCGCAAAGATCGTAGTAGGAAACGAAATCTATTTATAGACATTGTCAGATAGACCAGTTCAAAGCCGGTCCCATTAGAGTTGTCCCAAAAGTCTCTAAGATTTTGACGTCCTGATCTATTGGCTCCGATTACTATAAGTAACCCAACAAACGCTCTCATTTCAGTAAGATTCGTAGGCTTCGCATCTCGTTCTCTTTGGTATTTAGTCTTTATAGTATTTATATATATATTTGTACAATTTACCAAGGATTCAAAAACATCAGGGTCTAAAAATAACTCGAAACATTGAAGGAGTGTGCTAGCATTACAAGCAGTACCTTTTGGTCCTAAAGGTTTTTGTATAATATTGTGAGAACGTACCCTTGTTGCAGGAAATGGATGTTTCCTCCATTCTGTTTCATTTCGTGACTTATAAGTGGCGAAATCTGCAAGCGGTACACTGTCATCAGAATCACTGTTGTTTTGTCCAGAAATCTCATCATTTTCATCATCTTCTTGCTCGGTGTCAGTGCCATGCGGAGAATGAATTATATTTTCTTCTTCTCTCAAATCCTCTTCCTCTTCGCTTACAATCAAATCATCCTGATCTGACTCCTCTTCTAGCCACCTCAACATATTTTCTTCCATTTTGCGGTCCATATTTCCGATATGTTTATCAACAAATCCGATATGTTAATCAACAAAAAGTAAGTTTACAGTTTATAAATATAAAATATAATACCAAAATTTTGAAGAAAAGATAAATATTTATGTGAATATAAAAAAATATTTCACACCTCAAAAGTTCCGCCAATGCACGCGTGGGCTACATACGTAGCCCAATAACTTTAAATTATTATTACTCGCACGTGCGGCAGCGTCGAGCGCTCACGCCAAACTAAACGCGTCGAGCAACAACCAATCGGAGCTTAGCTAGAGGCTCAAAGTTAAATCACACGATTTCGTGAAGTTATGAACAAAAACAATACCCTGGGCTACATATGTAGCCCGCGCGTGTACTCGCGTGTTAACTTCCAAAACCAATTAACCGGGCCACGCCCTAAGCCTCTTGTCCAAAACGTACAACTTAGACAAACTAATTCGAGGCGATCTACACGAAACCCAATTTCAAAAGGAAATCAAACGCGCTCAAAGACTCAAATTCTAGACCACAAAACCAAAACTGGTCGCGCGAAATCGAGGCAGTGGTCACCAAATACAAATGTAGTCCAATTCAAAAGTTGCTATATGGCGGCTAAAATAGGTAAGAGGGTGGTACTATCCCAGATGATCGCCTAGATGATCATCTGGATAGGAAAGGTGTTCCACTTAGTAGTCCAATATGTACTATAAAATCCGACGTAATGGCCTCCAATAAATGGCGATATGCCATCTTGTTTATGTCATATTTAAAGTGCTCAGTTGTAGCGTAGAGTAGCGTCAAAGAAGTTATCTCTAACACAGATTTAAAATCCGTCATCTAACCATGGCGATTACGGCAAATGTACCCTATTATTAGGGAAGGCGCTTAATAGCTGGCTTTAATGCTTACCAACATAGATGATTCTCAACCATATATATATATATATATATATGTGTGTGTATATACCTCTACCACATAACTTCCTTACCCTTATCACTGATGGTGAGCAATATATTGATGCGCAACGAACAGTATATTTTTAATCGTTTTATTTTCAATTCATAACTGCAGACTAATCACAGACCTCAAACCAATTATGCAAGTTAGACAGAGCACCACGTACTCGTCCATTTCTAGTGGCGACAACTGATACCACAATAATTAACTTCTTGACACGCTTACTTGAATACGTTTTTTTCTTTTTCTTTCTCTAACTTTCCGTAAAATTCCACTGCTCTACGTCCACCATTCCATCCATCCATAAATGCATATATCATTCTACTGCTGTACCTCCCATATAGCTTGTCTCATACGCGGGATTTTGCCATAATTGCCACGCTTGGCTAACGGCTTCGTAAGCGTAGTTTTTTATAACTATGAGTAGTTATCATTATGATGCTGCTGCCCATCTCAGGTTCCGACACCTACGGGACGATATAGGTAGTGATTTTTTTTATATAGGATTAAGGTGACAAACGAGCACACAGTCCACCTGATGGTACGTGGTTGCTGCGGCCCATATACATCTACATCTATCCTCTAAATTAAAATTCAGATGCGTTGTCACCCGTGAGGACTAAGATGAAATGCCTCATTTCCAAAAAAAAGGGCCTCCAGCCACCTGCACTCACTAAGCGAAACGCAGAGGTAAACCTCTACTTCATGCTGGTATTCTGTGAGATCGTGGTACCACCCCGGTTCGTGAATATTCTTAGACCACCACTACAAAGTTACAAAAGCAGCTAGTTATAAACCATAGGTTTTATATATAGGGGAGATACACTATGAAACGGACGTTTAACTTTGGAGTATTATTAATAAAATAATAAAATCTTAGAAACTCGTTATATATATATATATATATATATATATACACACACACATATATATATATATATACTACATATACTATATATATATATATATATATATATATATATATATATATATATATATATATATATATATATATATAGTAATACATATATATCACAGCATCTTTAATGAAAATGAAATTTTAACTCGCTAATTGTCGGTTTCATGACACAGAAGCATTGAACAGGACAATGGGTGTCTTGAAATGGACTAGGAACGAATGTTACACTTTTTTCTATATAAATACGCAAGGTTTCACAAATTATTTTACTTTACATTATACTTTAACCCTTATTTAAACCAATCAAACACTGGTACGAAACAAAATGAGATCAAAAGATTTAACAATTACAAAAAAACGACAAACAAAAATGAGATCCTGGCTTCATTATGGTAAAACAATATAAGTAGGTATCAAATATATTCCTTAATAATATTAGGACTAACTAAAAATCATAAACTGTTTCCTTATATCCTATAATTTTATACCCATACATTAAAAATAATCAGTCTTCCCGTTACCAAGTTGGAATATTAATTGCAATTATTACAAAAATAATTGTTCATACCCTTCAGAACACATGTCTCGTATGCCCATTTCTTACAAATAGTACACATTAGCCAGTCGACACTGCTGCATAAATAAGCCCCACAAACAGTGCAATAGTCACCATATTTGTTGCTTTTTTGCGGTGCTTTTCGCCTTGAATTTTCTCTTAGCCTTAGATGTAGATGAAGATGATAGATTATATGTAGAGCCATCAGACGTAACATCCGAATCACCTGATTCCCGGAGTGAAAAATCAGAATCTGATGACTCTGAAAATGTCTGTATTAGCTTTTTCATGTTTTTGGAAGTTCTCATCTTTTGATTCCTTTTTTGAACTCTTTTTTAGCAAAATGTTTTTCCATTAATGCGTCCTTCTCAAGCATGTCAGTTATAACCGTGCTTTTCATCTTTCTAGGTTGGTTCTGAGTTTTCTTTCTAGGCAATGCCTTTGGATATGGTCGGATACATTCAGGATATAAAACCATGGTTGATGGATTTGATTCTGAGTATGTTATTTGTAGAGTGAAGCTAGAAGAGATAGCAGCAGACATAGGAGCATCGACAGTAGATAGTATTTCAGCAGAAGTTCCAGGAGCAATATCAGTTGATACTTCAGCATTAGAGAGCTCAGCTGCAGGCCTGCCAGTGAAAAAATATATCAAATAATCATCCTAAGTAAACGTATTTCTATTAAATGGATGAATACCAGTGTTTTGAAATCCTACGATAGCATTTTCCATAAAATGTATACGCGTTATTGGCAAATTGGGCCACTTCGTAAATCGATACTGTCTTTCCGGGATTAGATAACATCCATGCATTCATAGCCTCCCTATACCGAGCTTTAAATGGTCCATAAACAGAAACATCCAGCGGTTGGAGGTGATAGCTACAGTGAGGTGGAAACGTTAAGATTGTTATATAATTATATCTAGCCAACGTGACAACGTTGATTGTTATGTGGCTAGAGTGATTGTCACATAGAATCAAACAGGGGTTTTCCTCAGATGGCTTTAGGAATTTGATGAAGTGTATCATGGCTTTGTAGAAACTCTCTTCTGTTATCCTACCACTTGGGTTGGCTAAGCCGAGGGACCCTCTGGACCGCCTTGTAACATCAATTCCTTGAAATGGACTCTAGGAAACACAAATCCCGGAGGTACGGTGCCACCTGAAGCATTAATGAATCCAAGCATTGTGATTAACTGTCCTCTCTCTGCCGATTTCACCTGTCCAACTTGTTTACAGCCTCGCGTTGTAACTACTTTTGGTGGGTTGGTCACTGTCGAACATCCAGTTTCGTCAAGTTTCCATATCATATGAGGTTCAATTTTCTTTTTATTCAATATATTTGCAAGATTTTCGTAGAACTTACCAACGTTTTCTTGGTTAAAAGATGTAGCCCTGGATAGAGAATTATTTTCTGGTTTACGTACAGATAAAGACGGATTCCTTTTGTCGCTCAATCCACTTTTCGGACGCTAAATTATTTGCAACTGCAAATTGGTAAGCAAGCTCCTTCACCTGGATTGTATTGAGCCCATAGCACATCTTTGAAGATCTTTTTAAATAATCGGCTTATAGTTCTTTTTGTTCCTGAGAAAAAAATCTTCTATTTCCAATATTGGGATTATGAGTGAACGTAGTTGAAGACTCTTTAGCTTTTTTAACGATATCCGCCAAATAAGATCTCGATAACTTATAGGTGTATATGCATGTGTTCGTGTGTGTGTGTGTGTGTGTGTGTGTGTGTGTGTGTGTGTTCTTACAATAAGTCAATAATTATTTTGGTGTCACTTGAAATGTGCACAGTGTTCCGTCTATCTTTCTTTATTGGTCTGATTCACAGATATTGTGTATCTCACCCAAGGACTGTTCATTGAGTAAATGTTAGATCCACAAATATTATCATACATTTGAGACTATAATCATTCCATCCAAAATTTTAATATCCTCTCAGAAATGTTTACTTCCTTTATTTTGCTTTAAAATCCATCACAAAATGTTTTTTTTAAACTCTACTTGCACTTGACTACATTTTTAACTTTTACTAAAAATATATAAAATTCACCCGACGCTCTCTTTCAAAGTCATTCTCTTCAAAGCAAAGCACTGGAAAATATGTATGATTTTTTCCACTGCAATTTCGTGCACTCGACTACGCCGAGTTTAAGAGAGATTAAGCGAGTGTGGTATCTCGAATATAAAATGTTTTTTTTATGCCTTTAGAATTTTTACATCAAATGATGTTTCGCCCTTTAAATGTTAGTAATAATTTGTTTTTAATTTTTTTAAATTATTTCGAAAACATTATCTAAAGAAATACTCCCTCAGATAAATGCAGCTTTTCTTGTTTTCTCTTACTTAAGTTTTGTATAAAAACCTAAGTTTACCCCAAAAATTTGTCAAAATGCAGTGTTTAAACTCAGGTTTAGTCGACTACAACTAGGTGCTGCCGATTGCGGTTGGTAAGACTCATACGAGTATGTACTATAATTAATAAAATCAGGCGTTATTTTGTGGAAATCAAACATTATATTATAAATTGTAAAAAAGTGATTAGGTAAGATCCGCGAAATAAAATAAAATGAT